CCTGATCATTTTTTCAAAACAAAATTATATGGACCTGGTCAATTATGGTCAACGACGTTTATATGTTTTAAGAAAAATGAAAATGCGAGTTCTATAATATTCTTTAAACCAAGTGTGTACTTAGTGAAAGAAAAGACCAAGTGTTTACTTATTTTAATGAATCTAATTCTTCATACATAATTGTATCTTGCCTTTTACCTTATCCATTCTAATATAATATCGTTTACAAAAATTTCGTCTACATTATACGATTAGGACAACAAAGTATTATTGTACTAAAATAATATTCAATATGTATAGCTAAATCAAATAGATACAAAATTTAGTTGTGTTTTAAAATGACACCTTCCAGCCAAATAAAATCTAAAACTCAAATAGATGTTTGGTAGGTAACTAACAATATATTTGATTTAAAAGTTTGGCTGTAAAATATAGACTATATGACTTATTTTTTTAAAGTAATGTTTTATTGGCTTTAGAAATGAAAGTGGAAATAAGAACTAAAAAAATGTGGACTGTAATTAAATTTAAGACTTGTAGGGATGTAAGATGATTAAAACTTGATTCGGTTAAACTTGACTTTAGAAGACTTTTAGACGTTTTCAAAGTCTCTCTATTAATCACCCCTAAAAACAATATTTATTACGAAACTGATGAGTTTTGAACTAATCTTAGGGTTAAAATAATAAAATGAGTATATGCTATTTTGAGTTATTTGACTTGGTTTTTACATTATACTAAACAACTTGTATTTTGTATGTATGTTCTTGTCTAATCCTAATTCCTTACCTAACTGTAACCTATGGTATATTAATTAATAAGAATTATATAAATTAACTACTAGCTAGATTACCACCACTAGGAGCCGTTATGCTCTGGTCAACGGCTATAACTAACGGAACCGTTAAACTTTACAGACTCCGTTATCTCTTTTTCTCTTTCCCTCGCTATAAAAGAAAAATCGATTTTTTCCATTTGCTTGATTTACGGGAAAAATCTTTGTCCAAGAAAGTTTCTATCTTTTTTTTCCCAAGAAAATTTTCTGGGAAGCAAACCACAGATTCTTTTTTCGTCTCTGCTTAAACATTCCTTCCGATTTTTCCTGCTCATCAATCAAAAGACGAGAAAAGCTTCTCCTTTTTCATCATCACGCTATAAAAAGGTGATTTTTCTACATTTTCAGTCTCTGTTTTTTTTTTTCCAGATCTAACCCGAATTCGGACATCTCGATCTTCGTTGTCTGATTACAGTTTTTGTGATTTCGTGGATAACTGGAGTGTGAAGTGGGTTTTTTGAAGCTGAGATGAGTAATCACAATCACATGGTTGTATATGTCGATGGATTGATGCGTCCGGTCCCGTTAACTCCGGTGCCGGAGCCGAGGGTGGAGGATAAGGCAATTGATATCTACGACGGAGATACCACGGAGGAGGAAGAGGGTTCGCTGATTTGGTCGGCGGAGTGTCGTATTTGTCAAGAGGAGTCTGCTATTAAGAATCTCGAGAGTCCATGTGCTTGCAATGGAAGCCTAAAGGTTTAGTTTTTTTTTTTGTTTTTTCCATTGTTCATGATCACACTAAAGAAAATGCAGAGTTAAAACAGAGTTTTTGACTCTCTCTCAAAATTTTATGTTTTTGACCAGTATGCTCATAGGAAATGTGTTCAACATTGGTGTAATGAAAAGGGAAACACAATATGCGAGATCTGTCATCAGGTATATTACGCTTTTCGACCGCCTTTTTGTTGTAATGAATGATCCAAGAGATGTCTGAATGAAATTACTAGAAACTGGAGCACTTGGTAGGAGCACATTTGTTAATGGCAGTGGTGTGACTAGTTTAGGATCATTTCATTCTGATTACGGCTTCAATAATTTTTCGCCTTCTTATGCGGTTTGGAAGATAGACAATTTAGAGATGTTCAGATAATGTAGCCTTTTTAAATGACAATAGAGAATTTAACACCCTTTAACTTGGTCTTACTCTTATCTATAGCCATACCAAGCTGGATATACCTCTCCACCACCTCCACTTCAATCTGAAGAAACTACTATTGACATTGGGTATGATCAGTTTTCCATACGCATAAAGGTTTTGGTTATATATATGAGTATGACTTGTAATTGTTCTGACTTGAAATGTCGGGTTTGTAGGGGAGGATGGACAATCTCAGGGTTGGATTTACATGATCCACGACTCCTGGCAATCGCAGAAGCTGAACGCCAGATTTTAGAGTCGGAGTATGAAGATTATACAGCTCCAGATACCAGTCTAGCTGCATTTTTCCGCATATCTGCTCTAATAGTAAGCAGCCTAAATCGTCTTGACCAAATGACCACTACCAATTTTTTTAACGAGTTCTAAACATCTCTTGCTTCTTTTTTTTGCAGATGATGACTCTTCTATTGCGATGCGCACTGACTATACCAGATTATGCAGATGGCGAAGATGAGGACACTTCTTCAATACTTTCTGTAAGTTGAAAATTAAGTTTCTATAACAGATTATGCAGATGGCGAAATGTCTCAACTCCAAACCACAAAGTAATCTTAAATCCTTTTTTTCGCAGCTTTTCTTACTCAGAGCTGCCAGTTTTCTTCTTCCTTGCTACATCATGGCATCAGCCATAAGTATCTTGCATCGGCGAAGACAAAGACAGGAAGCAGCGGCTTTGGCCACCCGGTTTGCCTTGGTACTCGGCTCAAATCAACCTAGAGCCGTGATAAATTATTTGTCGATGGAGCCCTGATTTACTACTTTACCACCAAAGTTCAGGTATATGCTTTTCAAAGATTTCATAAGAAAAAGATTTGGTGTTAAGAGTAACTTGCAGTAAGTGGAAAGAAGAGAGGAGTTTACTTAATCAATCTCTTCTTCTTTTTTCACTTCTTGCAGTACAGTTGACACTATCTTTTCTGATGAAATCATTGAATCATATGTGGTGTGATATCAATAGCTACAGGACCATCATGGTGTGATATCAATAGCTACAAGACCATCACAAGATCGACACTGAATAGGCTTTCTTACAAGGAGTGTCCTAATTAACTTAGTGCAGAGTTCCTTTGAAGTAAACGAATCTAAGAAAGATTTTATGTATGTAGAGTTAGTTTCTGATTTTGTGCATTGTAAAACTGAAAGATGTGATTATGTTTTCTCAATAACATGAAGCTTTTTCATGTTAATTATGGACAGAAACAGAAGAGCAAAGCTCAAAGCTAGTTTGCCTGCAATAGTTCCTTAATGTCATACCCTTGGATCTACAAAAAAAAAAAACAAAGACAAAATAAGTTAAGAGTTGGTCGGTCCTTTTAACTTTTTAGTGATTATAAGAATGAGTTTTCTACCTGAAGAAAAGTTAGCAGCAATATAACTCCAGAGTTCCAGAAACCGTGTATGATCATCGGTGTAATGAGATTGCGGGTTTGCGCATATGATAATCCCAGAACTGATCCTAAACCACATGAAAAAGAGAGGCATATTTGCAGTAAGAGATGTTTATAAACATGAGAAGATGCTAGTGCTATTGTTTCCATTTATGTTTTTACCTAGAATAAACAACTGCGGGAATTCACCGGGTGTGAGGTGGGCAAGTGCAAAAGCAGCTGAGCTGATGATGATCGCTATTGGGGTCGGGACCCTGAAATGCAAAATGAAAACTAATTGTAGTTAGCTTTTGTTCATAACCAAAAATGAGAAGAAAGCAAGAAGTTTTACCATTTGGTAAGAGAGACCATGAAGAATCCGCGAAACACGGTCTCTTCAAGAAGTGGAGCAAGGATTCCAGTTATGCCCACTAAGCTTAAGGTGCTGTACAATCATTATATACGATGTGATCAGATTCTAAAATTAACGCTCATCGCAATTACTATTTTGTCGGAAATACCTTATGTTTGAAGATCCAATTAATGGGAGAAGCTTCATCAAAGAGTCTACCTGAAAACATCAAAGTAGCCTCATTAGTATTCTCCATCAGACATTTCAGAATGAAAAAGAAAAACATAAATATGGTAGTGAGTTCCCCTAACATCTCTTTCGGGTGTCTCTGTCCTAAAAAAGGATATAGCAACACCAGTTAACGCAATAGCACCAACAGCACCAACCAGACCGATTCCACTCCACACGAGCCATCCTTTTTGCAGGTTGAATGGTTGTTTCAAATCTGAAGATTCAACAAAAGGTCAAAGGCCCCAATAAAAGAGTAAACAATGCAAGACATTGCCGATAAATAAAAGCAAAGTACCATAGCGCAAAATATCTTGAGGAAGTGGCTCGAAGGTTTTGGCAACGGTGAATATGACAGCCAGTACCACAGCAGTTGTTAAGCTGCAAAGTAAAGCATTTCAACAACTTTATATCACTGAGATTCTATAATCAGTTTACACTTACAAAGTACAAGACCTAAGACTGTGAATATGTAACTAGAAGAGACAAGGAATAGTAGTTTTTGATACCCTTGATCCAGGAATAAAATTTCCGCCTTTTCGTCCAAGCTCAGTTTCTCAACATTGATTCCTAAAAACGGTATGACCGCCATCTCGGTTAATCCTGTCAAAACAAAACTGCCTGGGAACAAAATCAACCTCACTCCATCCTTTTGAGACCATAATCTGCTCATACAGGAGAATAGTAACTGAAACATCTAACTACATTTACCAAAACAGCCACCACAATGATCCTAATGCAGCTCTATGTTTCCATCAAACTCAAAACCCTAATTCATCCAAAGAAAAGCTTTTAATGGCATGAGAAAGTGGAGAGTACCTTAATGCACAAGCAAGTGAAGTTAACGAAACTGTCTGCCATTCCCATGGAACTTCCCATCTCTGAAGTATCGGCCACTCTGAGTTACCTCCCTGTAACTAAGAAACATATCAAATTTTCAATTTTTTTTTTCTTGAAAATTCATGGAATTTGGATACAATTGAACAAATAACACAGAGCTTCCTGCCTCAGAAATGG